AGTAGATTGTTTCATTAAGACGTCAAATTTTGTACTATATATAAATACTACTATAGGTAAAGAAGTAATTGAATCTTTTTTGATAAAATTTATAACTATCATGGATTGCTAAAGAATATCATATTTAATAGAAATATCTAATTTTGAAAAGTTTGAAAAATCCTTTTGAAGATATTAAAAGTACATATAAAATTACTTTTGATTTTTTATCTTCAAATTGATAGACAAATCAAAGAATTGAAACAATTTTTTCACAATTATTGGAGATTTAGCATTAACTAACATCAAAACAAATGATTGATTAACTTTTCATAAGAAAATTTTATCTGTAATAACATAATTTATTTTTTTCTTCAAAAAACATCTTTTTATATTGATTATGGTTATCATCTACAACTTAATACTTATAACTTCTTAAAAATAGATAATCTTAGAACTAAAGATTTGAAAAAAAAATTATTAGAGTTACATACAACAATAAAGGCACAATTAAAGGATGCTCAACTTTAATAAAATATCAATGCAAATATCTATTACAAGAAAAAAACTTAATTCTATGTTGGCAACAAAATAGGATTACTCTGTCATAACATCAAGTCTATTTGCCGTTATAACAAGTTTGATTGTTATAGATTAAAATATTTTTTTATTTGTAAATAAATTAATCCGAGCGCTTATTAATTATGTCTACTAGAATCTATAAAGATCCATCTTGTATTCTATATTTTTTATCTGGAGCTATATGTAATTATAGATATATAGGAAAAAAGACAAATACCACCTCTTCCAATACAAGTAGACAATAATTAAGATGTTGAAGTTGAAGAAGTCTTAAACTCAAGGCAACACTAAAACATGTTGAAGTATCTTTTATATTAGTGTAGATATGATATAAGTGAATGCACAAAAGATCCAACTAAGAATCTTGCAAATAAAGTATGTTGATATTTTTCATCAATAATATCCATTAAAATAAAATAAAGAATCAAATAATTATTTTATTATAAAGAAAATATGATTTAATAAAGATTATATTCTATCTTCTATTATTATTTATAGTTTTTGTATATTTATGGTGGTATGAATATAAAAAATGAACAACTAAGAAATTTAACTTAGGAGCTAATATTTGTTAAGTTATTAGATAATGCATTAAAATTGTTATAACCTTCAAGACGACATAATAGATGAAGATCTTGAAGAACAATATTTTTTTATAAATAGATGGTGAAATACAACATATTTGATATTACAAACTTAGAAGATATTTTTAATGTTTGGTGATATTATTTGAAGTAAGCACTATTCTTGATGGTATCAAAAATGTTTTTTTTGAAAGAAGTTATAAAGACATCAACAATAATAAAATAATAAGATAATCTTTATATCTTAGTAGACAATAATATTAATGGTTGAGAGAACCTATCAATTACTTTAGAAGAAAATAAAAATTAAAACATGTATTAAATATAATTTGTTGTATCTTCGACGTCTTTAATATATAAGCATTGCTTTTTAAAGAACTCATTTCTATAAAGGAGAGTAATATCATAGATACAACTGACATTAATACTTAAATGTATAGAATTAGTTAGAAATTAATAAAAATAGATAAATTTTATGATATCTTCTAAAGAAGATTCTTAGAAGTTTTATAAATAAAAATTTGACTTTATATGTGCTTATTGGTGATTAATAGATTAAAAATTTGGCCAACAAGTTGGCTATTTGTTGTACATATTGATGGCTTGGAGTATAAGTTGTCCATATGGCATAGATATAGGAAACTCATCTTACAAGTTAGACATATCTTTTACAAGTTACATATGTATTAGAGGTCCTCTAGAATGTTGCCACATAACTTCTAATTAGATAGTATATTGACTCTTAAAATTGAATCAATCAAAAAAAACAACAAATTTTAAAAATCTATATTTAGAAGAATATTGATTTTTTTGCTAAATTAAAAATTAGATGACATGCACAACTAAATTAGCTATCATTTTTCTATATTTTAGCTTGAAAATTATCTCAACAAGAAAGAAACTATATTTTGAATATTGACCCAATTTTAAAATTATTTTCATCAGTCACCTTTAATTGCATGAACAATTTTATAGCGCCATGTAAGATTTCATTTTTCATTGATAATGGGGTCTCTTAAGACATATTTTGTTACAGTTATAAAGATTCTTTTTTGCCTATGAGAGTATTAGTGGATGAGAAGATATTGAATGTTATAGCTAGTTGCAACATGGATATAGCACATGTGAAGTATCAAAATTATTATGTATCTCTAAATCTACATGGTCTAGGATTTGTAGAGAGTATGTTCTTCATATAGAGGCTTTAAGATGAAGGTGCCAAAAAAACATCATCCCTATTCAAAGATAAACATATATAAGAGCCATTACAATTAATGGATTAGATAATTTTATCTTTATAAGAAATGCTTTAAATAATCATTTAAATATGGTGGAAAGCACTAAAAAAGTGAAGTATGAACTTCATGAATTAGATCTTGGATCATTAGAGAAGAAAAAGAAGTCACTTCTTACAACCAAAAATATTTGTTGTAGGTTAGAATCTGTTCAATTTTATTAAGATTGGATTGTCTATGTTTGATATAAGGTGATTTTTTAGTGATGAGACTAAGATCAATCAATTTTAGTTTAATAGTCATGTTTGGTATTAGATAAGGAATAGAGAATCTCAATTTCAAGCTTGTCACGTGAATCAAACTATTAAACATGGAAGTAGTGCAATCTTTATATGGAATTGTATGACTTTCTATGGCATAGGTTACATGTATAAGATAGATGCAAAGATGTAACAAGATTTGCATCTTAACATTCTTGAAGATGAACTTAAGAAGACAATTGAATAGAATCATTTTAATCCTTTTTGTATCATATTTTAGTATGATAATGATCCTAAACATACTACAAAATCAATCAAGTAGTGGTTATCAATGCAAAATTTTGATGTACTTACTTAGCCTCCTAAATAACTTGACCTAAATCTAATTAAGTATATGTAAACATTATAAAATAGAAATTAAATTACCTAATATCAACCAAAGAAATGCTTCATTTGTGGATGCATGTCCAAGCTTCTTTAAATTCCATCACCCTTGAGTAGTATTAAAAGTTCTATCATAGCATATCCAACCATATCCAACATGGTTTAGCTTCTAAAAGAGGGTAGATAAATTATTGATCTACATATAGATGTGGTTACAAAATTGGATTAATAGACCTAAGTTCATTCAAAATTAATTTTTTTTCTTGTTGCTATAGTTCTTAAATGAAAATTTAGAAGGATGATAGTAAACTTAGTTGGGCATTTCATGCAATTTGCAATTTGGCAAAAAGATTAATATTTTTTAAATATGACCTACAAAAATATGTTGTTTTGCTGATTGTCTCAATTTTGAAATTAAGTATATATATAGAGGCAATAGTGATGCCTTCCTCACTCTTGTTAATGTCTTTCTTATTCTTAATCTTACTTCAAGAGTCTATAGTATTCTTGTCTTTGCTATTAGTCATTCTAGTTTTATTATTATATTATCTTTTAAAGAATATCTATTCTTTTTGAGTGAAATAAGAATGCAGTGACAATTTGATTGTTTATAATTGATGTCTTTCACACATTTGATTTGTTTTAATCTTAGAATATATTAAGACATCATCTATATAGATAAATACATAGTTATTAGATTGAATTTTTAATTTTTTTTTCCTTAAATTTTTATTTAACTCATTTTAAGATACTGCAATAAAATTTTAAAGTCTAAACTATATGTTATTATGTTCAATGCATCCATAATTTTTATAATATATTTTATTCTATAATTACATATTTATAATTCTAACAAGGCTTTAAGCATTCTTTTAATTAATTTTTTAAATTTTTTTCCTATTATCTTAAATTTTCTATTGATTCTATATTTAATATAATAAATAATTTTTTCAAATAAATTTTATGATTTTCAATGTGTGTATGTTTATTGAAAAATAAAATATATATGTTTTTTGTTTATTTTGAATTTTAAAAAGAATAATGATTTTTTTTTATAGGACTCTTGTAACATTATTAAAAAAATTGTAGTAAGTTTTAGATTGGTCAAAATTCAAAGGTTAAAATATATAATATATATATAATTATATATTTTAAATATTTTTATTTTAAATTTACGGTGATTTTTTTTAAATATAATTGTAATTATTTCATTGAAATTTTTTATTTTTTAAATCATGTCAATTAAAGTATTTAGTATTTGTCTACTTAAGATTATTTTTCACTATTTAAAAGTTCTTATTAATTACAATTTTAGAAATATAATTATAAATATAATAACACTTTAATTGTTGCTTAACTTGCATTGACAAGACTTAGGTATCCTATGTTATTTCTATTTATTTGCACTATAATAACTAGATTCTATAGAAGTCTTTAAGATAAACTCAAATAGTTGTAGAATATTTTAGAAGTTTGAAAAGTCTTTTGAATAAGTTTATTTAAGATTAAAAAGTATTCAAAGTAGCCAAAGAAGGCTACTTAAGTTTTTATAATAGTATAAGAAGTTTTAAAGAGCTTCTAAGAAAATATAGAATTATTTTATTTTTTCTAAAATTTCAAATTTAGCCCAAAAGTTCTATATTGCAAGAAATAATAACAATAAAAATAAATAGTCCTTCACACGTTATTGGACATCCAAGCTATACAGTGTGCCCACAAACCTATTTACCTTGCAAAGAGATACAAAAAAAGAAGAAAAAAAAAAAAAGAAAAAAAAGTGAACTAACTTCTTTTTCTTTCTCATGTAAAAATAAATAATTTCTAAAAAATAAATATATTTCAACGCACCGGGGAATGGCCGATCGATCTCGCGCTTGTCCTCCAACAGGGGACGGGAATTGCATGGAGTCGGCGGGGCTTGCGCCGCCGCCAACACCCTAAGGTTTCCTTCACGAAGGGGAGCTTGGGATGGTCCCAATTGATATCCTTCACCCGCGTGCATGGTTACGCATCCGTCTACCGCTGTGACGTTTCCATCGAGTCTGATTGCAATTTACCAGCCTCAGCCACTTAGCCCTAGATTCCACGCCCCTCACCATTGCCTCTTTCGAGCGCTGCGTCCAAGTTCACGTCCCGGTGGCGCAATCGTTGTGCTGTAGCGCCTCTTATTCATTCCTGCGAAAGGCGTGATTCGAACAGCACGAAGGATACAGTGGCACGGGGAGGTGGGTACATGTACGTTTCTTGTTGGTGTACCCCAGGGCCTCGCGAGTGTCGGCTGGATCGCTGCAGATGCCAGCTTAGTTCGGTGATGATTATGATGCGCGTGGGTGTGTGTGGGGGGGGCGGGGGAAGATGGAGATGGAGATGACCAGCTTGTAACTGATAGCGTCTGATTCAAGTTGTCAGGCTTATACGAGCAACTATTTCCGCCACTTCTTTTATACTTTGCGTAGTCTTTACACGAATATTGGGGATGATTGGGTGTTATACTCGGGCATGGATAGCTATGGGGTACCTTCATTTGGGATTACACGCATGCATTGGGGTGGGGGATTTAGTGGAGGTACATGGTGGTGAGTGGGCAATGGAGTTGCGAATGAGAGCTTTTACCACTTATAATATAATTTTCTTGACAGTAGGACCACTGGGTATGAGGGGTTCGGTTTGGAACCTATGAAGGTGTGAGTGATTGTGTTGATGTTTGAGTGCTTGTTTTGATTCTCTGGGTTTGCTTGCAGGTTTTGAGTGTCATCTAAGCAGCTAGCTCTGTTAAGGAAGTGGAGAGGTAATATGACTGAACCACAGGGGAAGGAAGGGGATGTCAAGGTGAATGGCCAGCTGGAGAAGCTGGCGAAGCCGGCAAAGACTTTGTTGGAAAAGTTGGACGCAGCGGTGAAGGCGGATGAGAAGTATGAGAGGAATAAAGCGAAGAGGGAGAGGAAGAGGAAGAGGGAGGGCTTGAAGAAAGAGGTTGAGTCGAATGAAGAAGCTGGTGAGTGCGTATAATTGTCCTAATTTGTGCATTAACGTCGTTGGGAAGAATGTAGAACTTGATCAGTTATTGAAAGTAACAGTTGATGTAAGCGTATTTGGGACGGTGAACGAGTGTCTGAGGATAAGGCGTAGGGGTTATGCTCTTTTTGGTCAGGTTTAATGTAAATTCAATTAATTTGAAGTATTGAGGCGCATTACAACGTCTGGATTTGAAAATGAAGGTTTTGAGTTTGTTTTACGAGTGATTCTCGAATACTTCATCGTTGGAAATTCTCTTATTTTCGTGGAACGTTTTGGTGCCCTCTCTTCGCAAAGAAGGTTTATATGATGTCCGGATGCACAGTTCTCGTCAACTATGCTGTGCTCATATACGGTCCCCCCTCCATTTCTGGAGCCACAGCATCCTGAAATATCCATTACAATCCATGTCACACAATGTATAAAATTCGCCTCAAGTGTTGAATATCAATAATCGAGTGGTACTGTTTTCGTAATCATGTAGCTGTGTTTTTACTCGGCCCCATGTATTGAATTTTCACCTCACAAGTTGACAAGAGTCCACTTTTGCTGACTGGATTTGGTTCGCTTTTAGCCGTTTGCTTAAACCCTAGCTTTACAGGAAGCCAATTTAGGAGGATTTAGTGTTGAGGAAAGTCTCTAGGATTGGATTCAGTTTTTGTAGTTCTTCGGTATTGAGTCAGTCTAACCTGCTAAATTATTACGTATAGGTTCTACCACCTGATGGTCATAGCTTGCAGAGGGTGTGCCTGCACCACGCAAATGTTTGGAGTGGGTTTCTTTTAGGAACAGTTGTAATTGTGTGTCTATCAGATTTTTCGGAGGAGACGGCGTTTTTGTTTGACCATTGAACCCTAATCCTGATATGAAGCATGTACTCGATCTTCAGAGGTATCGCCTCCCGTGGAGCCTGCGGTTCAAGAACCTAGGAGCCGCCGACATATGATGCGAACGCGAGGGCTGGTTAAGATTACTGGGGAGGTCGTGGAGGACGTTCCGGATGGCGTGATGCATGGTATTTCAGACGAGTCATCCTTATGCCATTTTAAGTTTTTACTTTCAATCAAACAATCTAGCTGCCATGTGATAGCAGCAATGAATTTTGGACTTTTGAACTGCTGAGACCAGATCTAAGCTTAGGTAGAACACATAATCTTGTTGTGATTTGCACTCTATCATGTTCGAATAAAACAGAGAATTTTGTATTCTTATAATGCAGTTTGTTTTAAAAACTTCTAGACTCTGATCAATCTGTGCACAATAACGAACACGCGATTGTGTTTTCAACAGAGCGAGTGATAAGGAAAGCGGATAAGCGCAAAGCTGCACTTGCAGGAGAATGTAAGCCGAAGAAGTCGAAGAAGCAGAGGAAGCTTGAAGCTGCGCTTTCAGGAGAAAGAAAATCTAGGAAGCCGAAGAAGCCGAAGAAGCGCAAAGGTGCATCTGCTGTTGGAGAGATGACTGTGAAATCGGAGAAGTCGGAGAAGTCGAAGGAAGGCAGCGCACCAGATGTACAGAAACCTGAAGCAGAGGAGCCTGGAAAATTGGACGAGGCACCCAATAATGGTGTCAAGGAGGAGGGAAAGATGGGACTAAATCCGAAAGTTGCTCCTTTTGGAGAAGAAGAATCAGTGAAGCCAGAAAAACCTGAGAAGTCGGAGAAATTGGATGAGTGCGCTTCCCCAGATGTAAAGAAAGCTGAGGAGCCTGTCAATGTGGAAGAGGAGTCTGCCAAAGCTGGTGTCAAGGAAGAGGTTATGAAAGAGAGAGAGCGGAAAGCTGCTCCTGCTGGGAGAGAGAAATTAGAGAGGTCAGAAAAATCCAAGTCTGATAGGTTAGAGAAGCTTGAGAAAAGCAGTGCACTGACTGTAAAGAAAATTGAAGCGAAAGAGCCTGCCGTATTGAGAGAATCAAATGATAGTGCTAGAGAGGATGTTACATCCGAGTCCATGGCTGAACCAAATGTCGAGACGAATAATGAACTAGACATGGATACAGCTACTGGCGCTCCTAAACAAGCGAAAACTTTACAGGTACGTCGTTCAATTTATTTGAAAGCTTGGTGATCATTGGAATTCTACGGTTCAATGGTTTTCATAAAGTTCCCGGATTGCATTCCATCGTGATCTTTCGGTGTCTGTAAGAATTGCTCACAGAAAGGTCCGTCGTGTTTGAACAGGAAGGAGAGATCAAGATAAATCGAGCACCGGTGCTCACTATGTGGGTTGCGGCGGTAGCAGAGAGGCAAGGCTTCACATTCGATGAAGCCGTTACCTTCGGCAAGTCAATTGCTGGTCTATTTGCTCATGCTAAAGGAAAAAGAATTGGTGTTGTAGAGGATACGCCTTCAAAGAAATCGAAGAAGGATATGGAAAAATTTGAGGTTTTTGGTTGCAGCGTGTATGGGAAGACCACCGCGAAGGGGCGGTTTGCTCTAGAGTCTGGGAAGGCGATTGCTCCTAATGTTGTCAAAGCATATTTACAACGCGCCTTTAAAGATGATTACGACCGTGTGAGAGGTTTGTGCTCAATTCTCGATTCATTTCTGTAATCTACATTTAGGGGCCATGCACTTTCTTTAACGCAGTAAATGTGGACGAGATTTTGATAGAGGAATTTGTCCCAGGTGTTCATGTCTGCGGAATGGCGTCTTCAAGCTTGTCATTGTCTATATGCGTAACACATCGTGTAGCTGTCCGGAATGACCGAAACAATGAGGTTCTGTTGGAAATAAAAGATGGTATTAGAGTTACATATTGTAAGGATCTTATGAGTTTTGACTAGTTCTGTACCTGATGAGTACTTCATTGACGCAGAGACATTTGAACTACTTGCGAACTCGTTTTCACCTGAAGAGATTGGCAGCAAAGCATATGATTTATATGAGAAATTTAGGCCGGATATTCCTGATGGCTCAAGAGGTTGGGGTGCTCGTGGTCTTTTGAATCTCAAATATGTTAAGGAGCTTGCAGCAAGTGGATGAACAAGTAGCTGTTGTGCTGTGGCTGGTACTTCACCTTGTATCCTTGTGACCAAAATTGTAAAATCAGTCTGTAAATTTTGTGCTCAAAGTGCTGGTGCAGATGGGTTTGTGTAGCGCTTCAGGTTCTGAGTTTAGACAATTGGGCATCGTGTGGGAATGTTTGCCAGTCTGCGGATCTTCTGGGCTGACCAAACGGCAATACATCCTTTCTACACACGTGGTTTTGGGATGAGAATTGGATAGGTCCTTTTCTTTATTGTTGATGTGGTAGTTTTTTTTTGTTTTTTTCTTCCTTTCTGCATTAATTGTGACTTGCTGCATCAAATGCATTCATTATAAAGCAATTTTTTGGTAGGATCAGAAATGATTTACATCACATTAGCAAGGAATTATGCTCCTGTTTTACACCTTTGTCGCTACATACGCCCCTCCCTCGTATCGGGTACCCAACTTGGGAGATTTCATGTGTCCTTTCTTGTCTTTTGGCATATAAGTACTTTCAGTAGAATTTTGGAATAACTGGTAGCAACAATTTGAGACTTTTGAACTATGAGAACATGAAGTCACATGAAGCCATCATGCAGGATATCAAATGATACATGAAAAGAACTATGAAGTGTATTTGAATCGTAAGATGCAGTTGCAAAAATGTATCCTAAAGATGAACTAAGCTCTCTTGAGATGAAAGAGAACAAAGAAATTTCCAAAAGCATACAAAGGTTTAGATCACTTCAACAATTACCCGTAGCAAGATGTTCAGTTCTAGATGATGAGGCAATCTTGACTCTGATGAGAAGTCTGCTACTATCTTATGGGTCCCTTCATCAATTCTCGAAAACGACAATTAGACAGTACTCTGTAATCTTGAACAAAAAAAATGAATACAAGAAGATTTAATAACCAAATAAGCTATATACTATTGCAGTAATAGCTTAAGGAAAATCTATTTCTACTTCGTACGTAGATTCTAGAGGAACACTATATACATAGCACCCATCAGATGCTTTTTATATTTACACAAAATCTGACAATTACTTGTGTATTTAGGAGATGACTCTACATCCTATGATATAAAAGGTCATGGTGATGTCACAGTCAACCTTTCAAATGGACAGAAAAAAATCATACCAGATGTTTACTAGGAATTTGTTTTCAACAAAATAAATTATCCTAGAGGAGAAGCACAAAGGACCACAAAACTTTTGGAGCTTTCATATTTTGGCATATGCAGCCTTATGCAAGTTAGGACACATTCTAGATCTAAATATTTTATCACTTTTACAGATGATTTGTCTAAATATTGTTGTGTCTAATTATTAAGACAAAACTTTGAAGCAATTGATAATTTCATACTTTTCTTTTTTTTAAGAAAATCATATAAATCATAAAATTAAAACTTTACAATTGTAGCAATAAATGTGTATCTTTTTTTATTTAATAAATTTTGTGAAAGGGAAGGTATCCAATGGAATTTATTATCTTCAATTTCCACAACATAATGGTGCATGCAAGAAAAAAAATAAAATAAAATGAAAAACATAATAGTAGAAGTTTTATCTATGTAATCATATGCCAAATAATTCAAAATACTTTGGAAAAAAGCACTACCAATGGCAAATTATCTTCAAAACAAAAGCTCCACCAAAGTTGTCTTATTAAAAAAATATTTATCTTTTGAAGTATAATTTAATAGAAAACCTAATATCTTACATTTGAAAATCTTTAGAGGTAAGACACACATCTTTGTTAAAATAGAAATTAAAAAAAATACTAGGTTCTTATTTTAAAGAAGCTAGTTTTTTAGGATATAACAAAGAAACTAAAGGTTATTACCTCATGAATTCTATTAAGAAAAAAAATCTTAATATCCCACAACATCATTTTTAATACATATGCTCCAATTTATCAAAGTGTTTTAATAAAAAAAAAAACTGTAATAGTTACTAGATTCTAAAATCTGCAAATATCTTTTTGTTATTTCAAATAAGCCAAATGTAACTCATTCACAACTCCAACAATTTTTTTTTAATTCACGAATCCAACCACATCAAACATATGTACATCAACCATATGTCTTTAATCCATAGTCACAACCTTTGACATTACAATCATTATCTAATAATTCTTCTATTAGATAAAATTTATAGCATCTACTTCATACTAATGATAGCTCAAGAGCTTATTCTCACTTTTTTTTTTAGAGATTTAGTGAAATCCAATTTTTTTTATAAACATAAAAAAGTCAATTCTAACTTGAGAGCTTTTAATCTGGTCTTTTTATTTAGCTAAAACCAAAAGACAAATTCAATCTAAACACAAGTTTCTTGAGCATATTCAAAAAAAATCTTTATCTAAAAGACAAAACCTTTGTTTTTTATCCTCATTAGTAGCGCAAACATCAAGCAAGTCTAGTTCATTTGTCTTTAGATGCTTCTATAAAAATCTAAGAAACTATGAAATACACTAACTATAAAGAATGGTAACCAAACATTAAAGCAAAACCTAAATCTTTAGAAAGAAATAAAAAATAGAAGTGATCTCTCTTTCTTTGAATAAAAAATTAATTAATTTTGAGAGATTATTTAAAATAAAAATCCAAACTAATGGCAGAGTAGATTTACACAAAGCTTCATTAGTAGCTTTTGATTTTACTTAAATTCTAAGAATTTAATATCCTAAAACCTATTTTCTTGATGTCAAGATAAATTCTATCAAATTCAATCTTGCTCTAGCTATTTAATATAATTAAGAAGTACATTAGGTAGACAGTGAAACAACCTTTGTAAATAGCTATAAAAGACTAAACAGAATAAAACATAAAAATAAAAATAAAAACTTTATATTTCAATTTTGAAAGGTTTTTTTATTATATATTAATTCTAATTTAGTATATAAACGTTCAAATTCTTTCTATAGTGTAAAAAAATCTTTCTATATGCAGTATCTTTATCTTGACCAATATTTTATCTTGTATAGATAATTTAAACTTAAATTACATATTAACATCTACATTAAAATAGAGAGTGATAAAAAATTTATTTTTCTAATATTTTATATTATTGATTATATCATTGTCAATAATAAGCTTCTTTATTTTAAAGCCATTAAATACGTTCTCACCAAGAATTTGAGATGATTGATAAGGAAAACATTCATTATACTCTTGGCAATACTATTTTGTAAAATTGGTCTAAAATATAAGTTATATTATATCATCACAAGTACTTAACTTCTAAGCTTTAAAAATACAAAAAATCAAATTACAATAGTTGAGAATTTAATGTATGCCATGATTGACTTTCAATCAAATTAAGCTTATACTTTGAATAGCTTTGTCAAGAATATACTATGCAATATATCAAGGGTAAATTTAATTGTGGCATAAAATATCAAAAATTAGATTATAATAATCTTTTACATGGTTTTGGTAATATCTTATATTAAATCTAGTATTATGACAATCTAGTATTAAAGACACTTATCCATTTATATTTGGCTATTATTTTATTTTAGCTAATAGTATGAATTATTAAGAAAGAAAAAAAATAAAACAAAACAAAACAAAAAAAAATTTATAATTTTATACCAAATTAGAGTATATAGTATTAATTAAAGATTTTTCTAAAGTTCTCTATTTATAAAAACTATAATTTGAATTAAATATATATATATATATATATATATATTAATAATTAAAAAAATGATCCTTATTAAAGAAGTCCAAATATAATATATTTCTACACTTAATATAAAAAAATAAAAATAAAAAAAAATGTTAAAATGATCTAAGGTTTTACTAAACCAATCCATCTATCATCACAAAGCATATAAAATGTAGATCTTATTTGCATCATCATTATTATGATCCACATTTAAATTGATACAATAATAAATGTGGTTGGATTCTATTGGTTGCAGATTTAATAGTAAAAAAATGAATCTAGATATCAATTTTTTCATGATGGTTAGAATGGATGGATTGATTTAATAAAATCTTGGGTCATTTTAAGATATATATATATATATATATATATATATGTGTGTGTGTGTGTGTGTATTTCATGCACATTACATGAAAAGTAGATTATCAAAGTTTTCCACATTTATATATTTTTTTATTTTGAAAATCTACATTATGATTCACCTACTATTTTTTATATATATTGGCTATATAAATAACTACTTATTCATAGAAAATATTTTTAATAATTGATATTATTAATATTTATAAAAAATTATATAAAAATGATTAGATACATAATTTATTAAAAACTTTTTATATAACATACACCACAAATAAATTCCTCTTAAAAAAAACTTTATATATATATATATATATATATAGATATCTTTAAATGACTGAGGGTTTTACAAAATCAATCTATCCACTATTACAAAGTATATAGAATGTTGGCCTCATCTTTATCATTATTACTATGATCCACATTTGGATTGATATGATAATGAATGTAGTTGATTTTCATTAGTTGTGGATCCAATAGTAAAGAAATAAATTTAGATGTCATTTTTTTTTTTTTTTTTTTTTTTTTTTTCATAATGATTACAATAGGTGTATTGATTTAGTAAAATTCTAGGTTATTTTAACATTTCTCTAAAATAATTGCTGATATTCTTACTAAGTCTTTAATTGTCAAAAAACATAAGTATTGTATGCTCAAACTTAATATGTCTCTCCTACCTACTTTATCCATTAAGAATGACCAAAAGAGTATAATTTCTTAGATTATTCTAAAGTCTCTATTATTAATAATAATTTTATCTCTACATCTAGTTTTTATGACTTATGTCAAATCTTATATCTATTTTATGAATTATCATTTATGTAAGAATTGTCCTTCATAATGCCATCACTTAGTCTTTGTCTTTCTTTTATCTTAGAATAAAAGACATGTACAATGGATTGATTTTTTTTTATCAAAGACACACCAAAGTAGAAATTGACATCTATAAACTATTCTCTAATATACAATGAAGTTTATTTTAACAACATTACAAAGTTAAGATTACAAAGCAAATATTGATGCACAATTTCATTTACAAGGTCCATATTATTGCTATGGTTTGCACTCAACTTTATAAATCTTTCACTCAATCAAATTTTATACAAGATGCAAATATTAACAACTTATTTCAACCTTCAATAATAATTGGAGAAATGCAAAAAACATTAAAAAAACTTAAAATCATATGTATTTAAAATTAATATAAAATATTAAATATAAATAAATAAATATATATATATATATATATATATTCATATACATTGGAAAATGCTAAAATGACCCAAGTTTTTGTTAAATTGACCCACATATCTAAACCATCATTGCACCCCCTCCATCCCCCATCCCCGTGCCCCGCGTTCCCAGACCCCATCCCAAACCCTCCCTGTTCACAGTCCAGCGATCTGAGTAATAGTGGTTGGCGGGTCCGAGGGAGATTTTACCAGTGGTTTGTGAAGCGTCACTCATTGACTGAATGGTGACGCTAGAACCGATGGCAATTAACCGTGTATTCGGGTACGCACTGCCCAGGAACCTTTTTTTCAACTTGCCATCCCCGTCATGATTCTATTCTTCGTGCAGCTCCCCAAGGCCATTCTGCCGCAACGCCTCGATCCACTTGTGCTGCCCTGCAGAATGAGCGCCACTCACAGCAATGGTACCGATTGCGTGCCCTTCCAACAATCGATGTTCCCAGCTAATTTCGAGTTTTTGGCTGCCACGGCTGCTTACCAGGTGAGGATAGTCCGTCTCTTTATCGAGGTTCTTGAATTCCCACATTTTGCAGGACTTACTTCTCACAGGATCGGTACGTGTTGTAGGTGAAAGGCGCTGCGTATGAGGATGGTCGGAAGAATTCCATTCAAAAGTGATAATAAATTATAATTACTTTGTCATAACATCTAAATAAATCAACATTGTGACAAGTTGGTTCATTGAAGGTTTGGTCTATTTATTATTAAAAAATACATTAATATTGCTTATCATAAATATTTAATTGCATATCTATTTCAAATAATAATGGTAAAAGATATTTATCTTCTAATCTTTGTGCCTTAATTAATGTCTTGAAATACAATCAACATATCATAAAAGAAACAACTACCATCATTGCTTATTAAAATAGATAACATTGAAGTATTTGAAGTGCAAGATGTCTTGGATTTAAGACAATGTCAAGATTTAAATTTAAAAATCTTAAACATTGAGATTGATATATTTATAATAAACACATCTTGGAACCATCTAAATATGTTATGAATATGTCAATTTAATCTCTCATTTAATTAAATTTTATAAACAAGATTTATTAGAATCAAAGATACACCATTAGCAATAAGATGGATTCAAAATAAGAAAAAATAAGTACTAGAATTGACTTCTAGAAATGTTTTGAAGAATAGAGAAACAAAAGAAAATTGGTGTTAAGAGTTGTTAATTGTACGAGTACCAAAAAAACACCCTTTGTTTGTTTCAATTGTTACAATATCCAAATCAAGCCAAATTAAAATTAAAATTAAAAATGTTATTAAGATAAATGCTAAGATACAATATAAATGGTTCTCCAACCTGGAAAGACAACATCCATATATACTTAATTAGAGAAAACCTTGAGATTCTATAAAAAAATTATCTACTCGTCTTAAAAAGGGACAATTATATGATTTGAAGGACTTCCGCAGTCTCTTCATGCTTCAAATCCAGCTGGATTGACCGCAGAGTTGTGTGAGTTTCAACATCCATCCTCTCTCAAGTTTCTTGATTGTTTTGGTTAACTCTAAGAACCTACTTCACAGAGCTCCGACCTCATTCAAAAAAATTAAAGCTAATTGATCTTTTCCAAGGTCATGATAGGAATGATTTTGCGTTGTACGCCGAGACTTGGTTCGCTGCATTCGGCGATGAAGTCAAGCACTGGATGGCATTCAACGAGCCCCAGCATTACAGAAGCTACTTAAGCTACTAAAGGATTGGACAACTAGCTTTTTGGTTTATATAAAAATGTTAAAAGACAATCTTCAAACCTTTTGTATATGGTGCAAAACTACAGTAATTGCACCTCTCATCAAGATCTTTCACTAGTTTATCCTTTTTTCAACAGACTCTAATCTACTATTTCACAACAACCATTCTAATTTTTCCTTATTTTATATCCAACCCCATTTATCTCACATTCTTCCTGCTCAAAGCCACACAAAAATATCCTGTACACAAGATAAGTTATTACCTGTGACTGACCACATATTAGGATAGCTGAGATTGTACATTATTTAAAAATACTAAGCATCAAAAAAGAAACCAGAGACATAAATTGAACCGAGTGATTTTGAAAGTCCTATATTAAACTCACAAGACAGACATATAAACCTCGAATAAAAATTAGAAAGCATTCCAAAATGGGAAATATTCAAACAAACTCTGTCGACGACATAAAGGAATGTTGATCCCAAATTATCAAATTCAATGATGAGAGCTCAAAATACTCGCTGTAAACATCAACCTATAAAATATAATCATGTAAGTGATACATGGAAAGACAGACATGCAAAATAGCTCAAGCCACAAACTATTGGGACATATAGTACCGTAACATACTTCAACAAACAAACAAAACAAAAAAAACTACATACATACATACCATCAGTATACACCTTCAGCATTGATACATTGTGAAGAGAGATATACCTCGAGCATACCAACAAACGCAACAATAAAGCAAGCAACAACACCATTCCACTATGAAAAGAAAGAGGCAATAACTCCACTGCTTCTAACATTCCACTTCAAGCCTCTGCTGACACAGTGACATGTCAAAGTAACCTTGGCCAAAACACTTAAACACAAAGGACCGAAAGAAAAGGTTTAGGGGCACCACAGCCAGAAGTTGCGACGCTCATGTCTCAAAATTCGCTGGAAACAGCTGCCTACTGATTCAACGGGACAACTCGGGAGTACCAAAAGTTAGATACCCTGGACTCATCAGGGTGTTACTTGCCAGAAGCGCAATACGAATACGAGGCTAGTTACCAGAAAGTAGACTTTCAAAACATATGCCCTCATCGCAAGGGCGTCATGTAAACTGTGACTGGCATGAAACCACCCTCAAGCATGCATGACATGCACACGGTGGTCACTGCGACCTAGGACATGTGAGATATGTTCCGTAACCCAAGCTGAGTAACCATTTCCAAGTGAGTTCCTCGAATGCCACCTACTCATCGACCCCTGCCAAGCGACACGGAAGGGGGAATCCCACACACGCCCGTGGGTGTGGATGCTCCATGAATTAGTACAACCGCGTCGAAACAGCCGACGATTCAGGCTCAAAAGGGGACATACCCGAATGTGAAGGGCAACCCGCCTTGTCCCGCATTCGGCGCTCAAGCAAGTTCCCATCCCTCTTCCCCTCCCCCCAGACGATTCAAGTGCACCCGAGGAAAGGGGGGGGGAAGAGGGTTGCCCGTGACGAACTCGCAAATGGGCAGTCACCAGCGGTGACATCCCTCTTGCCACTCAGTCCAACCAAGCTCATGGCCTCGACGAATCGCACAATCACACACACAACAGTAGCCTCCCCTTGTGCGGAACGCGGCAGTCTGAACAGGTCGCGCACACGAACCACACCCCTGACTGCTCTACTGAACAGCACTTTATGACGACACCTTATAGACACCCCCCCCCATTTGGGCCACGCCTGTCCCCCTGTACCAGGCAGTACGGAAAGACAGTGCGTTCTCATAATCCAAAATGTTACTCCACTGTGACAGCGTTTACCGCAACCAAGGCCCACCCAGGCGTCCACCACGGCACCTCGTCACGAGCTGCACCCGCTACGACATGCCGCGGCACTAGATCGACACCACACACGCACAGCAACCACGCGAAAACCCCACATTCGATACACAACCCACCTCCGACCAGAGGACATGTGTATCAAAAATAAATGGTTTTTAACTTTCTCTTTTTTAAAAAAACGTCATCCTTGTCGACCCCCCAATCGGTCACGACAAGTTAGATGCTCTCAGAAACAAACAGCAAAAGTGTACCGCAGCCTACAAACACCCCAACCAAGCCTGGTTGCAGAGGCCCTTCAGTAACGGTAGTGGGCGGGCTTGTATGGGCCTCCCACCGGCACGTTGATGTACGAGGCCTGATCATCGCTCAACTTCGTCAGCCTGGCGCCCAGCTTCTCCAAATGCAACAGAGCGACCTTCTCGTCCAAGTGCTTCGGCAACACGTACACCTTCTTCTCGTACTTGCCGCTCGTGCGCTCGTTCCACAACTCCAACTGGGCGATCACCTGGTTCGTGAATGAGCACGACATCACGAAGCTCGGGTGACCGGTGGCGCATCCCAGGTTCATCAGACGCCCCTCCGCCAAGATGATCACACCCCTCTTGGTGTCCGGGAACACCCACCTGTCCGTCTGCGGCTTGATGGTGATCCTCTTCACCCCGGGAAACGTCTCCAACCCCTCCATGTCGATCTCGTTGTCGAAGTGCCCAATGTTGCACACGATGGCGTTGTTCTTCATCTTCCTCATGTCGCTCACCATGATGATGTCCTTGTTACCGGTCGTAGTGCAAAAGATGTCGGCGTACTCAACGCAGTCCTCCAATCTCAGCACCTGGTAGCCTTCCATGAGGGCCTGGAGAGCGCAGATAGGATCGATCTCGGTCACTATAACACGGGCTCCGGCGGCCTTCATGGCGCTGGCACAACCCTTCCCGACATCACCGTACCCGAAGATCACAGCAACCTTCCCGGCAATCATCACGTCCGTCGCTCTCATCAGGCCGTCGGGCAGCGAGTGGCGGCAACCGTACAAGTTGTCGAACTGCACAACAACCCAAGCGTCAGCCGCCAACCACACACCATCAAATCACATCCAAACGAAAGGTATCCGACAGTCACGGACCACATTACCTTGCTCTTCGTGACAGAGTCGTTCACGTTGATGGCGGGGAACAACAGAGATCCGTTGTCCATCATCTGGTACAAACGCTTCACTCCGGTCGTCGTCTCTTCAGACACGCCCACCAACCTCTCGGCCATCTTGTGGTACTTCTGGGGGTTCTCCTTCATGCCGTCCCTGGATACACAGAAGCCACCCTCTCAGCAATACCCTCGTCGCAACCACCAATACCACAACCCCCAACAACAACTAGCCCCACCCGAACTCTGCACGGACACCAATGTGCCACACGACCTACCACCCACTCCTACAAGACGGCCGCAACCAATGCCAGACGGAGCCCACGCCACGCCCCCATCAACAGTAAACCCCTCGAAAACAACCCACACCCCACCGCACCACATCCCTCGCTCACCTCAAGATTGTCAACACGATCTTGAACTCGGCGTTCGTCGTCGACTCGGGGTCGGGCAGCGTGCCATCCTTTGCGTACGCATCCTCGGCCTTCACACCCTCGTGGATCAACAATGTTGCGTCACCGCCATCGTCCACGATCAGATCTGGGCCTCCATCCGGACCCCAGTCCAAAGCCCTCTCCGTGCACCACCAGTACTCCTGCAGTGTCTCCCCCTTCCATGCGAACACCGCCGCGCTGTCGCGCGCGATAGCGGCGGCCGCGTGGTCCTGGGTGGAGAAGATGTTGCAAGAGCACCATCTCACCTCCGCGCCCAAAGCCGTCAAAGTCTCGATTAGCACCGCAGTCTGGATGGTCATATGCAGAGACCCCGTGATCTTGGCACCCTTGAATGGCTGCGCGGCCCCAAACTCCGTGCGACACGACATGAGCCCGGGCATCTCAACCTCCGCGAGATCGAGCTCCAAGCGCCCGAAGTCGGCCTGGGACATGTCCCGCACCTTGTACTCGCGCCCGGAGGCGGTCTTCTCGACGGACAGCTCCATATCCGCAAATGTGCGAGGCGCTAACAGCACAACCTCCCTCTCTCGCTCTCCAACGCAGGCCGAAGAGAACGAAACGGGCGTTGCTGCTGCTGCGGATGCCGCAACCCAACCTTGCAGGAGCCGGACGAAATGAAGCTGGAGACAGAGGGGACGCAGAGAATGGAAACCCTTGGAGAGTTCTTATAAAGCCTCAAAATATGTTCACACTGTTGGAGGCACCTGACTACCACGTTCTCAAGCGGCATCTTCCTCAGGCCCTAAGTTTATGCCCAGATCTGCTTGCCATGCTCGTCATCGCTCTGCTTGTTTTGATTATTCGCCACCTGGGACTATCCACATGATACCTTGGATTTTCACTGCGCCAGGCATCCTTTTTCAGATACATCTCCGTTGCCTGGTATATCCCCCAACCCCACACAAGCATGATACCGAACACCAGCGCCAGCAAGGGGCCTTCCAATACCACCTCTAAGACTGTAGGTGCTCAACCTTGTGGTTTGAATTGTGTTTGTTTCTGAAATCTGGAAAAATGGTCCCTGATTCTTTGTAGCTCACATCCTTCATTTGAAATTTAGTTACATTGGGTGTAAAAAATTTGATATCTATTATTCCACATTTTTGCTTTTGGGAACTTCTATCAACCAAACACATACAATGAGATTATCATATTATATTATGAAAGAAATAGAAATGAATTTAAAGCATCCAATTTAATAGCACCAAATTGCAATCAAAGTTTTTAATACATTGGTGCAACGAAGTGATCATGTATGCTTCATGTTCCTTAGTTTGTTTAGTTTTTGTGTTGTATATTACATTATCAAATTGTTATTTTGTATAGTTGTCATCTACTTACCCATCGGTTTGGAATCCAATTATATTAATTTGCTTTACTATTAGATCCCAAACCCATGGAATTATCAACCAAGAACCAAAGAAGGGCCTTTTTACTAGGGTATAATAAGATATTTATATTGTTGACACATAGGGATGGATAGTTAGAACCATGTTTGAGAAGTTTATAGATGTTTCTAGAATTGAAGCTAGATTAGTAGGCCATATAAGACCCACCATAGAACATTCTAAAAAGAACTTAGGGTGGTTATTTAAGTGGAGACCACTATAGAATATTGTAAAAAAGACTCAGGGCAGTTATTTAAGTGGGATCTATCATTAGAAACATTTTAAAAAGTTCTAGGATAGTTGGACAAAGTATAAATAGGACTAGTCATGGCTTTTTGAGCATATGATCTAATATGGCTTTGGATCTTTTTTCTTAGTAAGGTTTGGATTTGCATCTTCCTATCCAATTCTATTCTATTTTATTTTTGTTTGCTCAATTTTGTCTTTTGTGTCTTATTTTATTTAGTTCTATTCAATCTTGTTCTTATCTATTGTGTCCTTCTTTGTAATGAAATTTATATTGTTGTGGATTAGAAGGGTCTTAGATTCTTGAGATAGATGGGTCATGTTTCATTAGTATCAAAGCGAGTATTAGATTGTTCTTTAGTAGTTTGTCGATAGCCATCATCTAGTTCAATTTCAATTGTTGTAGTTATATTGGATATTATATTGAGGCTACCACAATCTACTCTTAAAAAATCAACCAAAAGTTGAGAAGGCATTACAATAGTAGAGTCTAATGAGAAAATTATAGCATGGAAGATATGGCAGAGCAATCCCAAATGGGAGCTCAAACACAACATCTCTTAGGCCAAATAGCTACTTTACAAAGGCAAATAGAAGTCTCTAAGACAAGGGAGTCGACATTTATTAGACTGAAATTGAACAAGCTTAGTACATACTTTGGGACTTCAAGGCAAAAAGATGTATGTCAATAGCTCTTCAACATGCAATAATACTTCTAATTATTTGGGATAAATACCACTGAAAGAATTATATATGCAACCAACTATTTGAGAGATGTAGTAGCTACTTGGTAGCAACATCGAGTTCAAAGCTATAGAACTCAAGGTGGACTTTGTGATTGGGAAGAGTTTGAAACTAAATTTAAGAATCAATTTTGGTCCATCAATGAGGAAAAAATAGTATGCAATCAATTGGCAAATCTTAGACAATCTAGATTGATGCAAGATCATATCTCTAGATTTAAATCCCTATATCTCCAAATTAATAATATTTTAGAGGTAGAGATGATAGATCATTTTCTACAAAGTTTGAAATTTGGGGTCCAGTGAGAGGTGAAATTAAGAGATCCATAAATATTGAAAGAGGCAATTAAGATTACAAAGAAGGTTGATGCTATAGATTTTTGAAATCGTAAAGCACGACCTAAGGTATGAAGTCCTATGCCATTATCTAACACTTTGGTACAACAACCAACGCGAATGGAGATTATTGTCCTACAAAGATCATTGATACCACAAAGATGACAAATATTGATATAAAAGAAATCGTGTTTTTATTGTCAGAAGCCAAACCATCAGATTGGAGTTTGTTAAAAACATCAAAATTTAAGCACCAACAAATCAAGGTGGATTTATAGTATCAAAATTCACTAAGTTGATAATGAGATAAATTAAAAAAACAATGCTACCTAATAAAGGCACCAAGACCAAGTACTAAGAATAGCTACTATCTCTTAGAGACAAATGGCATGGCTTTTGACAATTATAAAAAGAATCGACTAGTACATCTAATAGGACAACTAAGAAGACAACCATATTGAGTGCTTGTAGATTATGGCTCTATAAAAAATTGCATCTCAATTGAAATTATCAATCGACTTTGGACTGACATTAATGTAATCAAAGGAGGGAGTATATACTTTATTGATAACTAAGAGAACGTTGTTGTATTACGTGCTTTCTTGCTCGAGAACGCATCGGGCGTCTGGCTGTAGAAGGTAGTATGGAGATTCGCTAATATTCAAGCAGTTTATCGGTTTTTGACTGTTGGAATATAAACAACTGCAAGAATATATCATAAATCTATACGGATGTCCTTCGACTGCTCGCCAAAATCCTTTTTGCCCCAGCCGGTAGGTCTCTAGACATTACAGAGAACCCCAAACAACCCAAACTGCTAATCTTTGATATTGCTTTATATTCACGATCTTGTATCCACTGACAGTCTCGTTAGATTAACCCAATAAATTTCATTCACTCCGCATACTCAATCCTATAGACACCCTTTTAATTCTTCATCACAGACGTAACTCGATTTTACAAAATAGTCAAGAGTAATCACATCTACTTCATTAAAATCTCGATTCACCAGTACAACTCTGACTTCAGCAACGATTGCCTCAGTCTTCCCAAAACCCTATGAAGAAAAAAAACCCAAGTCTCTATTTTTTTTCCCCGCCCCGAAGCATGAAGCTCTCCTTGATCCCTACTCCCGTCTTCATTTCTTAACCTATCCTCCCCTTTAACCCTAATTCTCCCCTCTTTCAAACCCTAGCCTCTGAATTTCTTCAATCTTCCATCTTGGATCCAGAATTGGCTCCCGCCGTCAGAGCTTTCTCCTCCATTTTTACCTTTAAGAGATCCTTTTACCGAAAGGATGTTCCTGAAATGGCACAAAGGACGAAATAGCCTGAAACGAAATCGGAGCCCCGTAATCGGGACCACATTGAGTCGCCTGACCAATTCAGGTTTCATATTGGCTAAGAAGCCCGTAGTAAGACCTGGATGTTCCCGCAATTGGGTCAAATTGGTCTTTCGCATCAGATTGGCTAAGAGGCCCGTAGTAAGACCTGGATTGGATGTCTTGAAATTGGATCCAATTGGCTCTTTGAACCAGACTCACCCGTCGTTGAATTGGTCCTTTCTCTTCCTGTTGACTTCCGTTATTGGAATCGAATGGAGCATTTCAGTATACCCCGGGTGATTGTAACGGGGTGACTGAACCTGGCCTCTCAGTATTGCACTGAAATTGGTCGTTGCTCCCAATATTCGAGGTAACTGAATATTAATAAAAGTCCCATTTCTTTATATTTTCTCGGTATACTCATGTTACAACACGACATCCACCCCCTCTGAACTTGTGCATCCTCCGGTATGCACCAATTTACCCAATTACTGTTTGATTTAGAATATATTCCCTACGTTTTCGTCAAGTTTGTCTTCTTCACCTTCATTATCCAAATCACTTTCATCTTCTTGCTGTGGAATCTCTATACCTTCATTAAGGTCTTCCATATTCATCTCCTCGTGTCTTCGTTTAAATATTTTTACTCGCTTCCTTGTAATTGGTATTTTCAATTTTGTACCATCTAACTTGCGTAATGACTAAGTCGCATTATCTTGAACAGTTATTACTATATATGGTCCAAACCAACGTTTTGAAAATTTCCGCAAAGTACTATATTGATTATCTAGATTATTGTCATAAACAAGTACCCAGTCACCTTCCTCATTTGCTTTAGGTCTCAATTGATGTTGCTTATTGAATTGTGCCTTGTTTGGTAACCTTGATCTTTTTAACCTTTCCAATGCTATCTGCACATCTTTCGATCTTTGCTCCAATTATCGAATTCTAATAGCCAGAAGTTCTTCTCTTATCAATCCATCTTCCCATGATAGAATACTCCAAGTAAGTACCTTTTCTTCAATTGGCATAATTGGTTTTTGACGTGTCATAAGTTCTACTGGCATATATCCTGTCACTGAACTATGTGTTGTTTGATCAGCCCATAATGCAAATGACAAAAGCCGTAGCCACTCTTTATTTTTTCCATTACAAGCTTTAACTAATGCTTTCACAATCGGTGGGTGACCACGTTCGCTTTTTGCATTCCCTTCCGGATTATAAGGAGTAGTTAGTGATAATTTAACTCCACATCTTTCAAAGAACTTACGAGCTTCTTGTGCATTTAATTCTCCATGATCTGCAGTGATTTTTCCTATGCATCCGTAGCCGCAAATGACATCTTCAAGCAAAAACCCACAAATCCCCTCTGTAGATTTTGTCCTCAATGCTCTTCCTTCTACTTGATTTGATAAATCTTCACGAGTTAAAACCAAATATCTCATGTGCCATAACCCAACTGGCATAATAACCAAATCAACAATCCATTTAAAATGAATAGCTAGAGGATACGTAGGATGAAGGCCATCTCAATGTCGGATATTAGAATACGATTGACAGATTTCACATGACTCTACAAATGAGAGAACATCTTGATACATATTTTTCCACCAATATCGTTCCTTGAGTTTAGCAAAAGTAGCCCAGATTCCTCTATGCCCTGCCTATAAACTATCATGAAACTCCTTTA